TTTGAATGTTGAAATAAGTTTTATTTAAGGTTTTGAATAATTCATCGAAAATAGTTGATATAGATTTTCGGTAGACTTCTCGGGAAGTCTACATTTAGGATTTAGAGTTTAGGGGTTTGTAGAACGAAGTTTGAAGTCTACTAAACCAAAAATTTTAACCTAACCGAATTTTTTTACCTGCCTATATAAACCAAATTTACTCAAAAGAAAACCCCAATTTTGTAGAAAAAGACCCTCAATTGTTTCTCTCTCTAAAACGGCGCTCAAACCCTCTCGCCTCTCTCCACCTTCGCGATCCAGCATAAGTCTCCGGCGAATCTACACCGCATCTAGTTCGAACCAGCATAAGTCTCCGGCGAGTCTTAATCTGACGAGCCGTCGTCTCCTCTCTGTTACAGAAACTGATTTAAGGGATAAATCCTCTCTAGTGATTCACTATATGAATCCTAAGAAAAGTGATAACAAGCCTAGAAGGTGGTATGAAGATAAGAAACCCACCTCGAAGGAATTGTATCGATGGAATGATGATGATGATTTGATCANAGATTTTAGGGATTAGAGAAGAAGATAATTGTTTGATTGATTTCTCTTAGATTGGCGTAAAGCCTTACAAATACATTTGTGATGTACCAAACCGATAGACCGGTTTAAAGACTTAACTGAAATTGATAATGCAATTGAACCAACTCTTATTCTCATAGCTTAATCCTGTAACAATACTCCCTCGTCGACAACATCCTTGTCCTCAAGGATAAAAAACTTGGTACGTGGCGATGAATCTGCGGAAAACCTTTGTCCGGAGGGTGCTGTTTCCAGTGGACAAGAACGTTGGTGACAATAATCTAGAATTGGAGCAGTGCCAGAACATTGCAACTGTAAACGTATTCCNGACAATGNAAGCTTGAGAAAAACTCNAAGGTAGTGTGTTCTGGAGGGTACCATTTCTAGTGATCAAAGATGTTATGTTGTATAACCATCTTCTCATCAAGAATTTCTGGTTTCTTGGCATCGTCTGCATCATAGATAAAGTATCCCAAGTCCCTAAGGAAGACAAGCAAAAACTCCCGTATAATCCCTTGAACTAGTGTATCTTGTTTCATCTTGTCACATCCAGAATTTTCAGGAATCGTAATCTCAAAATCAGCTTCTACTGCGTCTAACCTTCTATCATCAGATATCCGATCATCATCATAACCCATCAACACAGCTAAACGTAGCATCAGAAGACCTGAAACTACTTGATGTTGCTTAGTTTTGTTCTTCCAACAGAGCCACATATGAGAAGTAGTTCCTTGAGTAGCCAAATATCGATCCCCTGTGCTTTATTTAAATTTATACCACCAATTCTTGCACAACTTTCTGTTCCATGAATATGTCAGCAAGATATGTATACAACACAAGCAAATCGCACAAG